GATTTGTTGTTTGTCATCGGGCAGGCTCCGCCTAAATTTGTAATCAGCTGTAAGCCTCATGCTAAATATTAGTGAACCAAGTAATCACTGAATCAAGTACAATAGAGCTAAAGCCAACCAGCTACTCGAAATTTATGTAGACAATTATATAATAGTATCCACATGCTAAAATATGATATGTTTGGGTATCACTAATGTCCACTGGTGGTGAAAATGCAGTGGTGCAAATTCCATATTTCTATGGCAGGGGCTAATATCTCAAAATTTTTACTTATTTGCAAAGCCACTGAACAAATGTGCCACCCCTGGTCTCTGATGCATAGCTGGATTTTATGTGCTCGCTTCACAATTCACGTAATTTACGATTCATGTGTGCAAAGCTAATATTTTTCCAATTTATGCATTGAGCTATGAAATAGGCGGCACTCAACGGCATGCTCTCAAGAATGTTAATGTCACAGAGGGTCACCATTAACGTCCACTTTACGGCGGGACGGTGTACTATAGAAATTACAGTAATCTCCCCCAGCACAAATTAATTGGCAGTTGAGCAGGAATCCAACTGTCGAATCCAAACCCAGCAGTGATCAAAACAGCGACGAACTGTTATACAAATTGTGGACAGAGTATACAATCAAACAATTATGGATTATTTTAATTTGACATAACAGCAGTGCACGACAACCAAGACAATTTAATGTAGGCATTGATTTGATAATAGCATTGCTAGAGAAAGAGGTGTGAATCCAACCCACATATGCCATCGACTTGCCACGGTAGTAGAAAACACCAGTCTGTATAGGTGTGCCTTGCATACATATATAACACACACACTGTAAAGGGCACATTGTTTTACGGGTATCACTTAACCATGCAGTTATGTCCAAGCTATGTGGAAGAAATGGGAGGAGTGGTGGAGTGATGGTGGCTTCCTGCACTGTGCTATGACGCTGGCGACCTGATTTCGATTCCCGGCCACCACAGCTAACGGCATTGACGTGCAATATCTGAACCAATGGTGGGCGACATCCCCCCGACCAGCATTACGAAGTATGTCAAACAACCCCCATGACCTACATGGCATCGAGGGCCTTCATCCAACAGTTGATTGACAAAGGACTGTAAATAATTGTTAATGAAGGTATATACAACACATTCCTGCGGAGGGAGCTGGTAGGAACGTTGGGTTGCTCGGTCAATGGCCAGGGTCAACGGCGGCGTGGTGTATTCCGCAAATATGGCGGATTGTGAGGGCGGGCACAAGCCGGCGTGAGTAGGTTAAACGTTGAGTTTTATAAGGGCACCACGGGGTGACCAGCCCCTCCCCTCCCCACCCAGCCCCACCCCTCACCCAGCACAACCCCTCCCACCCCCCACCCAGCCCCACCCTTCCCACCACCCACCCTCCCCACCCAGCCCCTCCCCACCCTCCCCACTCCACCCAGCCCCTCCCCACCCTCCCCTCTCCACCCAGCCCCTCCCCACGCTCTCCTCTCCACCAAGCCCCACCCCTCCCATTTTTGGATGCACGACGGATACAATAATCCCCTGTGGGCTGGTGTAACCAGGAGGTTCTTACTAGTATATACGGAGACTACCCCAGTTAAGCATGATATACTGTTAGGGCCAGAGATGTTAGCGAGCACCTAATACAACTGTCACAGCACCGAAAGGGTAGGTGGCACCAGCATCATGGCTGCCTAGCTGCCTTTGTCTCCCCATTGCTGATGTGAACACAATGCACCGGGCATTGATTTTAGGCTAATTTGATCTAGCGGAGGTCCAGGCCAGCTTCAGGTTCCCTAAGCCAGCTGGTTGTTGAGCATCACAGTGAGGAATTGAACTTGGTTGACTGGAATTGTAAGTTTGTGCACAAACTATTGCACCACTGTGTATATGTAAACACACATATTCTTATAACAATACATGCTACAGTATATACACTGAGGGTTAGTGAAGAGGATGAACAATATATAAATAGTGTACAAATACCAAAATATCACTTTTTTGGAGATTGTGTAAAGTGTTGTTAGCGGGCACCTATGAAAGCTGGCGTGGCTCGTATTAAGTTCGGCTGCTTTTGTCTCCTCAGCGGTGATGTTTATACACCGCAACGGGGTACTCAACTAAAGCTGAGTTGGTCGAGGGGAGGGCCCAGAAATGGTTCAGATATTCACCACCGATTGTGGTAATTACTACACTACCACTCCCCCTTATTTATGTTTGTGTGTTTATATATATATATAAAACCACAGAGACATGCAATTATGGCCAATGTGAATAATAATATGAAGGAGAGAGGAGGGGGGGTGTTAATATTAGAGCCTTCGAAATATAGCACTATGGAAACAAAGAGAAGATCATTCCACCCCACAGGAAGACGATAGAATACACGGTACTGTACTATACATGCACACATGCCAGTCATTGAATATGTATTTGCTTTGGCACTGCACTGACATTGTTAGTCTTGGTAGTTTCAGGTGGCAGTGGTGTTGATGATGGTACTTGTGGTGGTGTGGGTGGCCGAGTAGCTATTCAGTTGGGGAGGTAATATTGTTGGTGGCTGTGGTAGTATAGGGGTGATGCAGTGTTATTGATGGTGGCTGTAATGGTGACATTAGTAGCAATGTTGGTGGTAGTAGCAGTGTTAATGGAGGTGGTTGTATGAGTGGTATGTGTGGTAAAGCTGTACATTGTGAGTGACACGCTAGGAGAAAGGGTGATGGTGGAGGGATAAGAATGCAGAAGGTGATGTTGTTGGAACGTAACTAATTAAAGACGGAGATGAAATGGAAGGTTTTAAGCCTGGACTTCAATGAGGGATGGAGTCAGGTGAAAAGGTTTATGTTGTTTTTGGTAGTGAGTAGACATAAGTAGTGGTAATTATATCAATGCTGCCTGTGGTAGGGTATACAAATCATCACCCCTCAAACATTACCTCCGCTACCTCCTCTACCATCATCAACACTATCACAAGCACAATTTTATTTTACCACCACCGTTATCTCCTCCATCAGCACTGCCATAATAACTAATATCACCACCCTAATCATCACCATGTTCCTCCTCATCGTTATCAGCACCACCTCACCATGACCTTCTACATCAACTCTATCACCATTTGCATCCAATCCCATCATCACCGAAAACTCCATCACTGCCTTCTCCAACATCACCCTCTCATCAACTCTCTTACCACCAAATCCATAATCATGATTTCCTTCAATGCCATTATCACCATCTCTCACATTATGACCATCGCCAAAATACCTCAATCAATACTTCCTCAATTATCACCGCCCTGTTACCACCTGGGGCCCGACCCTGACGCTTGTATATTTGGAGTTTGCACGTTCTCCCCGTGGTCGCGTGGATGTTTCTCCGGGTCCACCGGTTTTTCCCTCCACATTTAGAAACATGCGTTTGGAGTATTTGGCTGCTATAAATTGCCCCATGATAAGCCACTTCGTTGAGCGATCATTTGTGGTCAGGTCGCTTCTAAATAAGAGCTATATAGCTTAGTGGGCCTTACCAGGTAAAATGTGTTTAGTTTTAGTTTGCCATGCAAACCATCTCCCTCTCACCAACACAACTATCTCTTCAACCATTACCACCGTCATCATCATCATCACGATGATCATCGATAGCGACCTCCAACCCCATGACATCAACCATTTCCAAGCTCATCACAACCCTCATCGCATTACCACCATCACATTATCATCACCTCGTCTATCATCACCAGAAACATCCCCATTATAATCACCTCCATATTAATTATCACTAACCCCATCATCATCCCCATCATTACCAAAAGTGCTCTCCCACCACCACCAATATGAGAAATCACATTCCTCACCATCATCACTATCAGTCACCACCTCCATATCTCCCATTATTATCCCATCATCATCAACGCTATCACCTCCCCATCATCACCATCACCACAAATAGCTCTCCTTTACCCCTCCACCATATTCACCATTGCCCTGACAACTTAATATATGAACGTCACTTCTATTATCACCTCCCCATTTGCCCCATCATCATCCCATCACCAAAAAGTTCCATCATCCTCACCCATCATTACTCTCACACTCAACATACAACTCCCACCACTACCACCAGCCCCATCATCACCATCAACCCCATCAGCTTTATCGCTCCCACACGATCCCACCACTAATTGTCACCATCACATTAGTATAACTTTCATGTTCAGCATAACATCACCCGTCGTCACCGATCCCATCACCTCCATCATCACCACCCTCATTTAGCACCACAATCATTATCATCACTCCCAATTTCACCATCAACCCCACCATCCGGTCATCCCAATCAACCACAATTGTCACCATAATCAACATAACCTCCCGCATGAGTATCGCTCCAAATACCGCCTTCACCCACAATCATCTCCATCACTCCCAAGCACCACCACCGTTATCATCACCCTCATCACTCCCCCAATGATTCACAACCCAAATCATCAACATCACCTCTCTGCCTCCCATCACCCCAAAACCATCACCTCTATCATCACCTCTCCCAACATAACCCTCTCCCATCACCACCATCATCCACCACCACCGTCACTCCCACCATCATCCACCACCACCACTCCCACCATCATCCACCACCACCGTCACATCCACCACCATCCACCACCACCATCATCATTCACCACTACCATTCACCACCACCATCATTCACCACCACCACCACCATCCACCACCATCACCATCCACCACCATCATCCACCACCACCATCATCCACCACCATCATCCACCACCACCGTCACTCCCACCATCATCCACCACCACTATCCTCCCCCCATCATCCACCACCACCATCCTCCCCCCATCATCCACCACCACCACCTCCTCCACCATCATCCACCACCACCTCCTCCACCACCACCATCCACCACCACCATCCTCCACCATCATCCTCCCACCACCACCTCCCCCACGGTCCCCGATCTCCGCCTCACCGCTCCCTCCAGGCGAAGCTTCTCCGCCGAGGGCGCTCCCAGCCGCGATGCTCCCCTGCTCGCTCCCGCCTCCATGCGGGCTCCGCACTCCTCGTCAGAGCCGCCTCCTCCTCCTCCTCCCACCACCCCTCCCCGTTCAAGCCGCAACCACGAAACAACAACAACAATAATAACAACAACAATCAACAGCTCCACAATAGCCGTGCAAATCCGGAGCTCGACTGCCTAGGCCCGTCGGCTCCGTCTCCTTGTTTGGAAGAAGCCACGGCCGCTAGTTCTTCGGGCGCATCTTTAACATCTTCATCGAGGCTATTTGCACAATTGGCTCTCTTATCGCTTGGCGTTGTCGCTCAGTTGTTGTTGCTGTTGTTGTTGTTGGTTGTTGTTGTTGCCGCGCGTTGCGACCTCGCAAATCGCGCGCGGTTCGGTGGAGACGCAGAAGCCCGGGACGGCGGCTTTGGAATTCGTAGCGCGGATACGCGCCTTTGTCAGGATGCCTTTGGAATTACTACCACGGATGCGCATAGGGGTGACGTCACCGGTAGAATCCGCACACAGCATAGGTCTTGCACCCCACCCCCCCACCTTTAGAATTCGTAACACGTATTAGCATGCGATGACGTCACCGACTGAATTGATAGACCTCTTAAGCGCCTTTGTGATGGGGCTCGCTAGAATGTATAGAGCGGATAAGTAGCTCCGTGACCGGCTCGGATAGAATTTGTAGATCGCATAAGCAGCTTTTGTCACGGAGCTCCATTCGAATTGGTACACAGCATAAGCCGAGTTGTGACGTCAACGATGAAATCCGCAGACTGCATAGACGGCTGGCACGATGGAGATCGATAGAACGCGCCATTGTACACGGCTCTCATGAAAACCCCGCACACAATTATGAATCTGGCTTTGTGGGAGAGGCTGCTGATACAAATTACAAATTCGTAGACCGCATTTGGGGCGCTTGTGAAGGAGCCGGTTGAAACATGACACGATACGGCGCTTTTGTGAAATGTATGTGTAATTCATAGACCTGCATAAGTATCCGTATGACCGAGACGTTGTAATTCGTAGACTGTATAGGAGCGCGCGTTGGAGAGACGGGGCAAATGCAATTCTAGATTTGAAGCTTTCGTGATTGCAAGGATTCATACTCTTAGGTTTTTTCGGTAAAGTCACGTAGGTGAAAATAAATAATAAATAATAAACTATAAATCACGACGTGTTGCCTCCGAAACGTCGTGATTTATTATATTTCTATTATTTCTATTATTTTTATTTTTTATTTTTACCTACGTGACTTTACCGACAAAACCTAAGAATACAGATACAATTCATTGATCGCATTGGCGTGAACCATTGTGAACGGGCTCCTATAACTCATAGACTTAATAAGCACCTTGGAGACAATGCGATCAGAATTCGTAGACCATGTGAGCACCTTCAGCGATGATATCCTTGCAATCCACACGGGATAATGTTTCTCAAAAATAAATGTAATGTCCTTCTTGTCAACTTCGGAGTGGCAGACAAGGCATGGCAGGGTCGTGAGAGATGGCTTGGGCAAGGTTTTTATTTATCCAGCAGTGGATTGGTTATGGCTGAAAATCCAAGATAAGATGATGGAAAGCTTGAGATCTCAAAATGTTTTTCAAGAGCCCTTCTTGAATGTTTATATATACACAGGATATATTTTTCATTTTAAATGAAACATTCCCTATACAAATACTCAAACTCCATTATATACCTAGTCTGGCGACAACCTACTTGCTGTACCGCCTATTACAGCGACGTCAAAGGATGTCCGTATTGGTTGAGCGATATAATGTTGCACAAATCTGCCAAGTCCTGTTAGCGAGCCCCTATGAAGGCCGGCAGGGCACATGGTGGTGGCCACCACCACCACCACACCTTTGTCTCCCAACAGCTGATACACACCGCACTCGGTGCTCATTTAAGGCCAAGTCTACCTAGGGGGGTGCCCAGGACCGGTTTAAATACCCCCGTAAAAAAAAATTTTGGGATTATATAACTCCCCCCCCCCCACCACAAAAATTTTAAACCCCCGCAAGTGATTTATTGTTTCTGGGGCGGTAATCGAACTCGGGTTCACCGGGTTCGTAAGCTCAGCGCAGAAGCGGTCGCCACGCAGACACGGAGGATGAAATTGCTTTTATAGGTTTATTTTGGTGATTTCGTAAAGGTTTTTGATTTAGCCATATTTGTTTGTTGTAGTACAGAGTTAGACTGATAACTTTCATCTAAATTGTCTTCTGGTTGTTATTGTTTGACTTGCATCCCTCCACTGGGATTTTTGGCACACAGCATTGATATTCGGTGCTTTTTCTGGAAGACTTTGCTGTTTTTTCCTGGATTTTTCTGTTTGTGCGTAGTCACTTTAAGATGCTTTCTTGTTCATGTTTTTGTTTGTTGCGGCTGCACCCGATTCAAGAGCCGAATGGCTCACAGGGCTCTACATAATCAATTAAACTGAAAGGAGGCGGGGGGGGGCGCTGGCGGCGCAGTGGTGGCGCAGGGGTTCGTCTCCACTAAGCTCTGAACCCTGCGACCTGGGTTCTGTTCCCGGCCTGTTGGAGCCTGAAAGGGGGAGGGAGGGGGGAGAGGGGAGGGAGGGGAGAGAGGGGGTGGGAGGGGGAAGGGAGGGGGAGGGAGGGGGAAGGGAGGGGAGGGAGGGGAGGAGGGGAAGGGAGGGGGAGGGAGGGGGAAGGGAGGGGGAGGGAGGGAGAAGGGAGGGGGTGGGAGGGGGAAGGGAGGGGGAGGGAGGGGGAAGGGAGGGGGAAGGGAGGGGAAGGGAGGGGGAAGGGAAGGGGAGGAGGGGGAGGGAGGGGGAGGGGGAGGGAGGGGGAAGGGAGGGGGAGGGAGGGAGTGAGGGAGGGGAGGAGGGGGGGTGAGGGAGGGGAGGGGAGGGGTGAGGGAGGGAGGGGAGGGGGGGGAGGGGAGGGGAGGGGGAGGGAGGGGAGGGAGAGAAGGGAGGATGGGGGAGGGGAGGGAGGGGAGGGAGGGGAGAGAGGGGAGGGGATGGAGGGGAGGGAGGAGGGGGGAGGGAGGGGAGAGAGGGGAGAGAGGGGAGGGGAGGGAGGGGGCGGAAAACCAAATACGCAGTAATCACAATAATACATTTGACCCCCCACGAAGCCGAGGAATAAACACGACCGCGCAATTGATGTAAATGCGTGCGAAAATGTTATGTGACTCCACTTCGAATTATGGGATGTTTATTCATTTACAAAATGTATGCGATTGGGATGTTTTATAATTATTGGTGGTGGTGGCGGTGTAAACTCCACTTCGAATGAATTAAAACCACGACCACCAATGAGGGTGAAACCCCACCTGCATTCTAATGTACTCATTTCCGGTGATGTTTAGTGTTCATTTCTTAAAACGAGAACGTACTCTTCTTGAATTAGCATGCTATTGCTATAGACGGATTACACGTATACATGAACAACCCTTGCAAGCCAGCTGGTCCATTACAAATAATTCTCAAGGTTAATTGTTTTAATATAAAACTCTAAGAAAAAAATTTACACCTACTGCTGGATTGGAACCTAAATTATGCCGTGCATGTTTGCGGTAGGGGAGGGTGGAATTTGACCATATTTCACCATGATGAGTTGCAAAAGGGAGGGAATCAGAGGACGTTGGCATATAAAGTGATTTACGTATTTGTGCCTGCTGCTGCTACTGCAGCTAACACCATCCGCCTCCTAACTTTCCCAATAATATGTATACGGTATTTCTTTTGAGAGTTTTCGTGACCCCTCTCCACATCTCACTGTTAATGTTACAGACACATGGTCATAACTAATGTATCAAAGCTTTCCACTGACGTTGAAAAGTTTTTAAAAATACATTTCATTCCATTTACTCTATTCAAATAGCTGTCAATCACACCCTTAAAACCGAGGCTCCTCCATCACCAACCTTTAGTAGCACCTACGGCAGCCTAATTAAATCCACACACTTTCGAGTTTAAATTTCGATTTAAAGCTTTCGTGACTGCAGGGATTCATCTTCTTGGTTCTTTCGGTAAAGTCACGTAGAATGGAAATAATAAAATAAAAAAATACGTGACTTTACCGAAAGAACCAAGAAGACTGTTGAGTTTCTCAGTTCAGGTAAAAAGGCTAAAGGTGCAACCCTGCAATTGCTTGCTGTCAGAACGGCCTCCAATAGAGGGCGCTCTAAAGGGGATCTGTTCTAATCTTCCACGCTGACCAGACATGTTGGAAGAGGTCGGTGTATCCACACTTTTATCCCACCGCACGAAACCTGCCAATCGACGAAGTGCAGAAAACCCATTGTACTGCTTGGTGGACAGAGGAGGGAATACGAATAAACTTGTCCCAATGTGTACTTTTTGGTTATTTCGGTAAAGTCACGAAAAAACCAAAGAGTATGGATTCCTGCAGTCACGAAAGCTTCAAATCAAGATTGTCCCAATGTGCTTCACTACTCGGTAGTGAGGTTGACTGCTTGTGGCTGTCTTGCAATTGAATGCAATCCAACCACAGACCCCAGTTTATCTAGGTCTTATATATCGAAGCAGCAGTAACCTTTCAAAAATATCTGGGCTGGGTGTGAAAGTGAAAATAACTTTCCATGCAAAAGATAATGGAGCAATGTTCATGTCTGTTGGCAGCCCTGAACCAGTTCATAGTCGACATTCCCAGAGTAGAGTCCAGTCTCTATGTTCACCGTTGCAGATATGATTACGAAAAACTGTAGAGCGTTGAAGCAAATACTTTGGTGACATGGCCAAATAGCAACGTTTTGCTGTTTGGTGCAGAGATTTTTGTGGTTAAAGGCCCCGGTCACCTTGGTTAATACTGAGGGTGTATTAACCTAAACTAGGCACTGTCTGCATCACAGTGGACATTGATGATCCCGTGACATTATTCGAAAAGCAGCAGGCCATGTGTGCTGGAGTCATTGTTCAAATTTACCAATAAAAATATACTCGCAAACAAGTGCATTGAAAAAAAGCAACAGCAAAATTGCCCCAGACTGACAGACTAATGCCCACTTACAGGCTTGTGCTGCATCCCCTTGTATCTTACAAGGACAACTGTCATCAGAGATTCTCCTAGGCATAAAAAGGAATACACTACAGCTCTGCATTACATGGTTGAGATGAGATGCAATGCGCTTTGCAATGCAATGCATTTAAACGCGAACGAAATGCAAATTAGTATCTTTAATAGAATGCTTAAAGATGTATATCGGTTTGTTAAAGGAGGCGTGTTGGCTTGTTCAGGAGATGCTCGTTGGCTATTAACCTGTTTTTCAAAAAAATTTCAATTGCTGTCCATCAAATATTGGCTGCTTAGTTAATGATACCTTCCATTTTAATATTTATTTGCATTATTTTTGGACATTGCACCATTAGTGGACCATTATAAAATGCTTATTTGCCAGATAAATATTATAGTA